AATACGTAAGGGGAATACCTTCACAGCTTTTGGGAACATACATTTCAGTGGCATCCACATAAGAAACATTTCCACTTGGTTAAGACTTGGCCTACAGTCGAAAATTAAGTCGGCATAATACATCGCTCAAGCATTTGCAAAATCAATACCTGTGAATGGCATAGTTGAACAAACCCAAGTCCTGTGTAGATAGTGCTAGACTGATGGAATCATTCCTCAGCCAACCTAGTTATTGCCTCTCAGGAAGGTGGATTACCTTGGCCAATGAGAGAATCCAACATAGAGAGCGTATACACCTAAGCACTGCCATGCTGTCTTCAACAACAAAAAATCCTGACTTTTGAAATAACATGCATGATTCTGGCAAGAAATTTAATTATGAATTTGAATTCTACCATGTGAAAAAATAGCTGTATTTGCTTTGATAAGATACTAAGTAGCTATGAAGTTTGATATTATTTAATCTTAAAAATTTAGCTAATCAAGGCTCTGCTTTCCATTTCATATAATCTTTTTCTGTTCTGAAATTATATTAATGCCCAGATTACAAAAGATTTAGTTTCAATTCAATCACTGATACAACATGAAACAATTTAAAAGACTTTCTGTGCCAAATATAGTACATACATTTGTGACATGTTAACAAAAATAATTTAACATAGGTTGTATTATTTCTGGACATGTGGAACATTAGAAAAGTATCTTCAAAGGCAAAAAGTAGGTCACAAGAGGAGGACAGTCCTTTCCATTCATCCAGATCCTTTAAAAAAAAAAAAAAAAAAACCATACACCCACCCTTAAGATTCCCTACAGGAGTGCTGTCCACAATTCCCAAAAATGTGAGGTACAGAAATGTGAACTCCACTTCTTGTTTCTAGCTAAGCTCACCTCTTCCTCTCTCAGGTGATGGCATAACTTAGTAATAGTCAGTATAATAGGGCGGTATAAAAACATGAACAGAATATTTTTCTTTCCTGGTTAAATTCCTGCCTCTGCCAGGTACAGAATCACAAATCAACAATCAGATGTGTGGTTAAATCAAGTGGATGTTACAAGAATTATAGCCCTAAAAAGCCAAACCTTCTCTGTCTAAACATCTAACTTGTCATGCATCTCTCACTGAAATATAAAATCCACGTAAATTGACTCCCAATTAGCCAAGTTTTTTGTGTTTTGTTTTTTGTTATTCCCATGAAAAATTTGGATATTTGGAATTTTACAGCATCACAGTTGCATGCAGCAGGTCCAGAAGTGACCACAAGAGGGAGATGCTCTATTACTACAGTCACTAAACTCCATCAGTACACTGGGGAAGTTACTTGGAAACACTCAAACATGGCCACTGCAACAAAAACTTGGATAAAAATACAGATTTTCAGATGCCTTAACAGAGGAGAAACTGACCTAAGCAAGCAGTTCACTTCCAACCTTCAGTCAAAAACAATCCTGTTGTGCTGCTAATAAAACTGACCAATTGTAAGCATGTATATTGTTCGGAACATTGATGTTACATAATTTAAATCAAATGATCCATTAGCCACACATTTAAAAATATCAGCTCACTACTGAAAGGCAGATACTGGGCTAGATGGACTTTTGATCCGATCCAATACGGCCGCTGTTATATTTGCTCTTAAATGAATGAGTGTGCAATGACAGGACTTCCCAAGCTGATCCCAGGTTCTGGGGAAATGCTGCGGGGAGCCCAGGATCAGCTGGAAAGTCTCCAGCTGATCCCAGGCTCTGCGACTGCCCTTTTGAAAGGTGCACAGGTGGCATTTTAAAGGTGCAGTCACCAAACAGCTGATCCACGGATCAGCTGTGCAGCGGCTGCCCCTTTGAAGAGCCACCTGGAGTACTCACTCTGAAGTTCTCCTTCCCCCACTTTGCGGTCTCTATGAAATAGAAGCAGCAAAAGGGGGATATCGACTAGTTGACTATTCAAAATACCATCCAATAGTCAACTAGTCCTTTACATCGTTAAGCAGAAGTAATAAATATTACTACAGAGAAGGTCCCAGACAATTAATTTACCATCTAGTTTAGCTTAGATGATAAGCAGTTTGGGGAAGGGTTGTCTTTTAGGTTTGTGTTTGTACAGGACCTAGCACAATGTATGAGATTGGAGGCTCCTAAGCAGTATGGTTATACAAATAAAATAATAATAATGATGAACAAGGGTAACAGAGA